AAGCTACAAAGATAACTCCTTTTTAGTTTCCTTATTCCACCAGTCTCAAAACTATTCAAGACTAAAATGAAGTAAATACAGACGCCTTATCTAACAGCTCCAGGGGATCCATGGCAACCCCCACTACAGCCCTGTCTGTTTTTCTCCCTTAACTCACCTTGGCATTGGCAGTATCAAAAACCGTTTCAATTAGTAAGACATCAACCCCGCCATCTAGAAGTCCTTTGGCCTGCTCTTGGTATGCTTTAACAAGCTCGTCGAATGCTGCAAAAGGAAAAATCACATTCAGCACATCAGTCATCAACATTGTCTCACTGGTCTCGGGGCACGCGGAGTTCATGTCTGGCACCTGTGAACTACTGCTGGTTTCAGAACAACTCTATTGTGACAGATTGAACTGTATCCCCAAAAAGGCATGCTGAAGTGTCTGTCATGAGATCCCATGAAATAGGGTGGATCCTAAACCCGATCCTTCTAAGTGGAAAGGGAAACAGAGATGAGAGTCACACCCAGGGGGCAGCCCCCAGTCAAGGAGCACTAAGAAGGACCAGTGCAATAGCAGCAAGGAGACGAGGATCTTCCCCGGGAGCCAACAGAGAGCCGGTCCTACTGACACCCTGAATTTATGCATTTTACCTCCAAAACTGTGAGAATATACCCTGCTTCTAAAAACCAACCCCTCTGGTATTTTGGGAGTCCTGGTATGGCCCTGCAGGTTAACATGCTGGACTGCAAAGTTGGTCTGAACCACATCATCAGTGGTTCAAGCTCACCACCCACTCCTTGAAAATCCGATACACGGTTGCTATGGGTCGGAACTGACTCAAAAACATTTAAAAACAATTGTGGTATTTTTATTATGACAGTACTAAGGAACTAAGACACCTAGCTTTGGCAAGAAATCAAATAAACACAGCAGTGATGGAGGTGAGACTTCAACTGAACACAGTTACACCTAAACACCTGCCACATAGCCGCCACTTTCCTTCCATGTATGAGCTAAGCATGAGTGGATAAGTGTATGAAGTTCCTGAACCCCGTACCTTACTGTCACATCTTTAAAATACATTATGCTTTCCAGAGAGTGCTTTAAGTAACCAACTAAGAGATGTGTCAGGCTGACGTGGGTCCATCACAGACCACTTGCTCTCCCCGTGGTGGGCTGTGTGTGACACCAACTCTGTTACAGCAAACCTGTCTGATGGGCAATCCCAGCCTCATAAGGACTCAGTCACCCCTCTCTAAAATTACTGTTAGAAACTTCCAGGCTGTCAGGTTCTACCTGAGAGGGCATGACCCACTCCCATTATATCATCACCCCCTCCCAATTACAAAAAAAAAAAAAAAATGCGTTGTAGTAAATGATAAGCTCTTATATTCTAGAGAAGCATGAATGTAGCTTACTATGTAAACGTGGAACACTGGTGGCACTGTGGGATACGTACTGGACCACAAAGTCACAGGAGACAGGTGAGGCCTTCTGTTCCCATAAAGATTTACAGCCTTGGAAACCCTGCTCAGAGTCAATAAAGTCAGAATGGACTACTGGCAGTGGGCTTGGTTATGTCAGCATATTTCATCTTCTACAACCCAAGAGAAGGGAAAACTGAACTCTCCAGAGTGACGCCTGTGTGGAAAAGAGCACTGCCCACCAAGAGCCGGAGGTAAGCCTGTCCTGATACAGCTGCCTGGGAAGGCCTGTATCCAGCACTCACCTGAACCTGTCATGCACACACAGCTATCACCTGATGGGAACCACTGCTGGGAAGCACCAACAGTTCATTACCCATGCTCTGTAGAGTCTTCATGTTAAGAAGTTTGCCTCGATTCCTGTGTGTCTAGCAATTTGCCTCTCAAACTCTTCTACTGTGCTTACATAGTTTTGACTGCTTTCTAATAAAACTAAACAGGAATATAATGAGCTCTTACTCTACAACAGACCAAGTCCTAGTGTCTATATTGCTCAACCTATCTGTTTAAAGCTTTGTTTTGATCAGTTATAATTTCACAGCTGATATAAAGAAGCACTAACACAATGCTAAAAGAGAGGAAACTCTAATAATAATGAACTTGTTAGTGAAGTGTTAATTATGCACTACTATAAGCACTTTCCACCACTCGTTTGTCAGTCTGTCATACTGTGGTAGCTTGTGAGTTGTTGTGATTCAGGAATGTAAGAAGTATACATCTAGGAAACTTGGAAGTTATCAAAAATGAAATGGAACGCATAAACATCGATATCTTAGGCATTAGTGAGCTGAAACAGGCTACTACTGTCCATTTTGAATCTGATGACCACATGGTTCCCTATGACGGAAATGACAAATTGAAGAGGAATGGTGTTGCATTCATTGTCAAAAAGAACATATCCAGATCACTCATGAAGTACAACACTGTGATAGGATAATATCCATGCGCTTACAGTGAAGACCAGTTAATACCACTATTATTCAAATTTACGCACCAACCACTAAAGCCAGTGAAGTTGAAATAGAGGAATTCTACCAACTTCTTCAATCTGAAATTGATCAAACATGCAATCAACATGTATTGATCATTGCCGGTGATTGAAACGCAAAGGTTGGGAACAAAGAGGAAGGATCATTACTTGGAAAACATGGCCTTGGTGATAAAAATGATGCTGCAGAACGCATGATAGAATTCTGCAAAACCAATGATTTATTCATTTCAAATACCTTCTTTAGACAGCATAAGGGACGACTATACACATGGACCTCACCAGGTGGAATACATACAAATCAAACTGACTACATCTGCAGAAAGAGACAATGAAAAAGCTCCATATCATCAGTCAAAACAAAGCCAGGGCAGACAGTGGAACAGACCATCAATTACTCCCATGCAGATTCAAACTGAAACTGAAGAAAATGAAAACAAGTCCATGAGAAC